TAATAATAATAATAATAATAGTAATAGTAATAGTAATAATATAATAATAATAATAATTCAATATGGGCAATTTGGAAATTGTATAAAAGAATTAAGGGCAAAAAGGTAATATACTTGGTCAACATAAAAGAGCTTTTAAGTTAAAAAAAAAAAAAGCTCCCCCCCCTAGCTTTTAGCTTTTGGCTTAAAATAAGTCATTTTTGACTTAAAATAAGTCACTTTGATAATTGCCAAACACTCTAATAAGTCAAAAACTGGCTTTTAAGCCAGTTTGACCAGCTTATAAGCCCATCCAAACAGGCTCTTAATATATGCTCTAACGTTGAAAATATCATAAAAAAATCTTAAAAAACATTCTCATCTTTTATCTCCTTTTTTGACATTTTATATTTGTTTTCTATTTTAAGTTTATATTTTTAAAAACTGAAAGTGTTTAAATGTATTACCCAATTAATCACATTCATTTAAAACATTCCTCAAATTAATATACATTTAAGTAAAAAGAAGATGAAGAGACCAAAAGCTTTTCATTTTCCACAACGGTTTATATTTAGCCTATAAAATACAAACATTTGATCATCTATAAACAACAACAATAGACTCTTTCGCCTCTTCTTTTTTCACGTCAATCAAATTCTGAATATCATGTTATTTATATACTTCTATTAACAATGTATTTTATCGATCTGATATTATATGTGTACCGGTGTCGTCGTCATGACTCCATAAGCAATTCATAATGTCAACAGATTTTATCCTACTTCATATTAGCAGGATTATACATAAATCTACTTCATCCAGAAAAAAAGAACAGAGAAAGCGGGAGTATATTAGTGTAAGAAGAAATGTCATGCAATAAGCGTACCTCCTCAAAATAAAAGACTTTTTTGAAAGGATGTTGCACTATAATTATCCTACAAAGAGATATTTGTTGGGAAAACAAATTCATTTGGTTGAGAAATTTATAAGTGTGGAGAATGTTCAAAGGGCAAGAAGAATATTTAGAGAAAGAATCAATCTATTTATGAAATTCATATCAAATGAAGAGAAGAATAAAAAATAATTATTTGAAGAAAAGATTAATATATTTAATGAATTCATATCAAATTAGGAGTAGAATAAAGGAAAATGTAAATTCTGATTTGAAAAGAGCCAAAATTAATGCTGACATTATTTCTTTCAACTTAATTTTTCTATTAATTTCTTTCTTTTTTTATTTTTTTCTTAAAAGTATTTTCTATTTTATTTTTTCTTTTATGCATCTTTATTTAAAATATATATATATTAATTCATGAACATTGATGTGAAGACAAAATATATATTTTTAATTATTATTTGCCTCACATTTATTATTTATATTTGTCCTTTTGAGCTTGAATTTTATGAATTGTGCTCAATAGTATATTTTATTTGTAGAATTAAATTGATGGAAAAATAAAAAAGTTTAAAAATAAAACGAATTAAAAATGAAAGATTGAAGAAGCAAAATAAACAGCTTAATGGATTAAATTAAATATAATAATATATAATATATAACTTACCGAAGATTGCAGATTGCGAACCGCAAAGAGAAGAACTGCCACGTGGCAGCAAAGAAAGACAAGAGTGAAAATGAAGGAATCTTTCTGCCACATGTCACAATTGAAGGCTACAACAGTAAAAGAAAATTGAGGCGACACAATTCATGCGTACAATTAGGAATTCAATTTCGTCTCGTTTGATTTTCTAATTTAATTTGGACTCAATTATTTTAGGGTTTTCTTTATCTATAAAAATTCATAAAAATAATTATTTGAAAGAAAAAGAAAAGACCCTTTTGAGAGAAAAGAAAAGATCATTTTGAGTGGCCTAATTTTTGAATAGTACTTTCCTGTGAATGCTTGATTGATAGTGAAATTGCAAACCTTTGACATCTAGGTTCATGGTTGTGACTTTGTATATAGCTTATTTTATTTTATAGATTGTTATGATCTTGTCTCGCTTAGAAGTGGAATTGATGCTTCTTGATTGATACTTGTGTCATGTGTGGTGAGAATTTGTTTATTTCATGTTTTGCATCTTAGTCTAGAACTTGCCCTGCATGTTATTGAAGCGAAATAAAAAGTGTTGTTTTGTTTAGGAGATGACAATAGACTTTCTTTGATTTGTCTTGTAAATTTTAGTCTTTTCAGATATTATATCACCCTTTTGAGCCTTTTAGCCTATATTTTTCTTGTAAACCACATTATCGAGCCGAATTCCTTTTTATTGTTACCATAATTCTATTTGAGCCAAAAAGAAATCCTTAATGCACTAAGTAAGAAGAAAAATGAGAACAATGGTAGAAGTAAAGGGTGGAAATACTTGGTTTGTAGCTAATGGAACATGAAGAGGTAAAAGATAAGATGACCTATGATTGAGATCCACACATCTCACATTTTCCTAAGAAAAGTTGTAAAACTCCGTGTCGGCCCTGGTCCTTCCTTGGACATTGTGCACTTTAACTCGGGCTGAAAGTCTAAATTGAGGGTGGCTACTTCAGAAGTTACTTTTGATGATGGCCCTGGTCCTTTCAAGGACATCGTGCACCTTAACGCATGTAAAATATGTAAGTTGAGGGTGGCTATTATCAAGGAAAACTAAAAAAAATTGAATCATTCTTGAGATGATGAGAATTACTTGTGAAATAATTGTTGAAGAGATGGTTGAAAATAAAGAGAAGAAAACAATGGGTGATGAAGTCTAAAATTGCAAAGTGCTTAAGGAAGTGTAAGTCACTATTATATAGTTTTCCTACCCGTCCCCTAGCCTACATTACAACCCGTTAAAGTCCTATTTGATTCTATTCAAACATGCTTAATTAGTGGAGGTGTACATAATGGGCAAGCCTACGGTTCTTTGTGCATACATGTAAATTTTGTTTGTGAGTGTGAGAGTTGTTCTTGATATGAAGTCCTTAATTTATATTTAATCGTTTGAATTGAGTGTATGGACTATTTCTTCTTGTGAGGGCACTTGTTTCATGATAGATAAGTGATTTTATTAGCTTTCTTTGATGAGAGTAGGTGAGCAAGCTTAAATTTGATGAGTTCAAAGTCCTTCCTTGAGGTTAGGAGATTAGAGGTGTGTTGTTTATTTGGATGTCTTGCATAATGATTGAGAAATCTACTTGATGTTTTGAAATTGGTATATGGCCTAGTTGTTTGTATTAGCCAAAGTGATGACATTTCTATTTTGATTTTTTGAGATGAGCTTTAATGTTTGCTCGAGGACGAACAAAAGTTTAAGTGTGGGGTGTTGATGTGAAGCCAAAATACATATTTTTAATCATTATTTGTCTCACATTTATTATTTATATTTGTCTTTTTTGAGCCTGAATTTTATGAATTGTGCTAAATAATATATTTTATTTGTAGAATTAAATTTGTGGAAAAATGAATAAGTTTGAAACTAAAACAAATTAAAGATAGAAGACTGGAGAAGGAAATCAAATAGACAGTTTAATAGATTAAATTGAATATAATAATAAATAATATATAACTTACAGCAAATTGAAAATTTGCAAATCTCAAATTGCGAACTGCAAAGTGAAGAACTGCCACGTGGCAGCAAAGGAAGACAAGAGAAAAATTGAAGGAATCTTTCTGCCACGTGTCACAATGGAAGGCTACAACAGTAAAAGAAAATTGAGGCGGCACAATTCACGCGTGCAATTAGGAATTCAATTATTTTATTTGATTTGGACTCAATTAGGTTTTGATTTCCTAATTTGATTTGGACTTAATTATTTTATTTAGAGTTTTTTATATCTATAAATAATCCATAAAAATAATTATTTGAGAAGGAAGAGAGATCATTGATAAGATATACTTTTGAGGGTTCTTTTCTTCTTCTTTTGGGTTAGACAACATTTTATATTTTTAGTTCTTGGCGTTTTATGGAATTAACTTGCAAACTTTAGCAATTTAATTTTCGATTTTCGTTTTGTAAGATTTTCACTTTAAAATTCAATTGAAGATTTCGGGTTTTATCTACTCTAATCGTAAGTTCATGAATTCTTTTTATCAAAATATGAATTGTGTCCTTTCAAGCATGAGTAGCTAAATCCACAACTAGGGTTGTGGGAACCATGAGAAATTAACAACGTATGAATAATAATTAAGTAATTCTTGAATAGTGTTTATGCATGTATTGGTAATTCTTTCGCTTAGAAGTCTTTTTAACGGTTGCAAATGTTAGAACCCACCTCCCTCCTACTTGCCGGACCAAGGAGGTAATGAATGAGAAAAGAATTAACAACAGAGATTTAGTGGATGCTATCTAATAGTCTAATGTCAATTGATGCGAGGGTGAAAACTAAGTCATACATTGATATGATGTCTAATCTGGGGTAAAGATAAGGGTTATAAAGCATACACTCGTAGCCAGACCAAGGTGCGTAGTGAAATTTCCTATTTGGAGGACCAATCACTTAGGGATACCTAACTTACCAACTTTGCATGTAAAACACTAGGAAATGATTACTATTATTAGGATTACTGCGTTAAAAGCTCGAGGGGAATACACATGCCCTAGTTTCTCTCTCATATTGATATCTCAAAGTTTGAATCATGCTTACTTGTTACTTAATCAACAATCTGTTACTTTCTTCTTACAACCCCCCCCCCCCTCCCCCTTTATTTACTTGTCTCGAAAATAGTTTGACTAAACGAATATAATAGTAAGTTAAGTTTAAGTCTGAACCATATTCCTCGTGGGATCGATCCCAACCTACAAGTTGGGTTTTTTTTTTGACAACGATCGCGTATACTTCTTTAGGGATGTGTAATTTGAGTGTATCAAACATATATATATATACTAGATTAAATATGGCCCGTGCTAAGCACGAGCCCAACATGGTTGATTTTGTTGTTTACTTTTTTTTTTATTATTGTAATAATATAAATTATATAGTTCAACTACATATAGTCAAATGTCTTTCTACTAACATAGATAGAACATGATATTTTTTCATGTACATATGCAAAAAGGATAAGCTCATATACTACCTTTAAATAATATTGACTTATCCTTACATCAAGACAGATAAAATCAATACTAATACATACTAAAGTTTAAACAGACAATATCCAATAGTTTATGTACAATATATGCATAATTAGTTACTTCTATTATACTAAGACAATTTCATAATCAAACATTTTAGACATATCAATAGTCTCTGCCTGATTTCAAGAATTTTCCACACTTCATGACAAATATTATACTTAGCCTTATCCATTTTGAAATTGTATCCTCTGTTGTCCCTATAGGACCATGAACATAGAGGTGTCACAATTTGCTTGCAAAAGAGATATAAAATTTAGTGCATCGGTAATTGTATCTTGGTAAAGACCCCAACTGAAAATAAAGGAACCAAAGTCCTTACCAGACTATCTCTTCCAAAGAAGCAGGCTCAAGATAATACTTATTATTCACCTTGTCAGAATTGGATGTAAACCTGAAATGAAAAATCAACACAATCAATCTAATATGTTTTTTGTCCAAATGTTACCAACTTTTATACCTTTTCATTAATTTTCTGAAGCATCGAGCGCTAAGTGAATAAAATATCTAAAAATGACAATATAGTCAGAATATTAGCTTCATCCTACTATTGCTAACAACATTAACAACTACGACACTTTCAGATTGTCATCATCATTGCCATCTTTCAATGCCTTTCAAGAAAGTCAAGAATCGGAACAGTATCAAGAAATGGTCCAAATAGTGGTTGGAATATGGTATTATTCAAAGCAACTCCACAAACAAAAGCATCACGTATCACCTCTAACAACGTTAGCAAACTCAGTTCTTCCTACTTGGGATTGTATAATCAGAAGTTATTGACATTGTTTTCAAATAGTGGCCTAACACCAATTTCTAATATGAATAACTATAATCAAATTCCAGTTATAGAACCAACTAACCACTTTAATCCATTTTTTACAAGACACATCGACAGAACAACCTTCAACGCCAAACATGGATACTAACATTGCCACAAACAGGTTCTCATTAACACCTTTGCCTACATTTCAAGCAACAACAACATTTAGTTGTCAGAATTTTACCTCAGCAGTGCAGAGTGATTTGAATTCAGATCCATTTGGAACATTTCTGAGTAGCGACCAGACGTTAAATGAGAGTATGCATCATAAGGATTTTTCGGATGAACAAAAATTATGGTTACAAAATCAAAACAAGATCATAGCTAAACATGTCTTAAATTTTCTCATGTCAGCTTAGATGCCAATTTTGATCTTTAAGTTTCCCTTTTTACTTTTATTCTTAGTTTTGATCTTGCACTTTTCACTATGACAGTGAAAAATAGCAAGGAAAATCGTATCAAATCAAAGTTCTATTCAACCCAAAATTTCAGTCTTTTTCCTTCCATTTATAGATGGAGAAATGTCACCATAGAATGACCAACAACAAATAAGAAAATATAAGAAGAAAATAGTGGGAAAAGAAGAAAGATTTGAGCAAAAGTTGAGAGGAAATCATACCTCAAAATAGTAAGATATTCTTGAAAGTATGAAGGAGAACTGCAATAGCAATAGCAGTCCTCTGTTTTCTTAGAAAACAAATCTAGTCTAACTCTATTTGTGTAATCCCGACAACATCCATCTAATCTGATGAGCATCCATATAATCTCAAATCATAACCAAGAAAAAAAAAAGACTCAAAGAAGTAGGCATCAGAAAATTTTGTACATTCTAGAGATATGTGAAGCATGAAATATGCTCTATGAAATTCAAGGAGGAAGGAGTACACCCAAAGCTATAAATACTTACAAGTTACATGTTATTCATAAAAACAATAAAGATAAGATAGCCAGAGAGAGTTGTGGAGGAAGGGACAACATCTTGCAGGACAAACTCAAGAGAAGATAAGGAATAAAATACAGAGAAAGCAGTTGGTTTATTCAAGGACAAATGAAGAAAAAGAAAAACAAAGGGCTAATAAATGGAAGGATATTGTAGAGAAGAGAAAAGAGATATAACTCAAAAATACAAAAAATGCCCATAAAAGTTGGCAATACATAAATGTTTCATCATCAGAACCATTGAACCCCATGATCCCCCTTATAAGATGCATCTCAACTTTACATGAGGATCATATTTGAATATTGAGTTATCAATAGATATTACTTTGATCTCTTTTCTATCACAAAGATCACAACGTGTATGTGTTTTGTTCAATGACTATTTGTTGGATACCCTCATTCTCTCGTTTAAGCATATACTTGACTGAATTCAGAAATGTAGAAGATTACTTAAAGGAACAACACTTACATTTACAACTTTACTGAAAGATAATTCTTTCAAGCAGTTTTTTCTTAAGTAGTATTGTAGAACATAATAGTAATTATATTAGTGATTTTGTTCAATAAGTATTTGATAATATATCATCACTTACACTTTTAGTCAGTTTCAAAACGAAAGTATCTTTTTCCTAATTTATAACTCTTTAATTTCAATATCCCACATGACATGTTTAAAAATAAAAGATTAAATGACATTTGGGTACATTATTTATTGTTGGGTTTAGCAAGGTGTGAATGAGAAATTAAAAAGAGAAAATGGAAAGAGGAAGAACCAATGAAAGTGGGGGAACCAATTTTGGAGGGAAAATGAAAAGTCATTGCAAAGTGCAAATGAAAAGTCATTTTTACCATATTGGTAGAAGAAAGGAAATTGTTGTCCTTATATTAGGAAAAACTTCCTTTAGTTCTTAAAGGGTTAAGAAGAAGGTGCCCCCTCGAGGCTTCGGCTTCGAATTCGGATTCGGCAAATGATGTGATTGATTGATAATATTTTTGGACAAAATTTATTTAATCAATCTTGTTAATTCATTTCTTTTCTCTTATAAATTAATTCAGAATGTTAGTTAAATAACAGAATTAATTTGGCGCAACGGAATTTATTTGAAATTCATATGCAACGGTAATAACGTTCTGAAGGGACCTGTTCCTTCCGAAAAGTCGTTATATTTCCCAAAAGACACAACGTTCTGGAAAAAACGGGTCTGAACATAATTGTCTGAACAGACACATTCCTTGTTGTAAATGGCTATAAATAGAGATGTTTTTTTCGGTTTTCAC